TTGAAATAAATTGAAATGAATTGAAAGTAAACTGAAAGTAAATTGAAATCAATTGAAAGTAAATTGAAATCAATTGAAAGTAAATTGAAATCAATTGAAAGTAAATTGAAATCAATTGAAAGTAAATTGATATCAGTTGAAAGTAAATTGAAATCAATTGAAAGTAAATTGAAATCAATTCAAAATAAATTGAAATCAATTGAAAGTAAATTGAAATCAATTGAAAGTAAATTGAAATCAATTCAAAATAAATTGAAATCAATTCAAAATAAATTGAAATCAATTCAAAATAAATTGAAATCAATTTAAATCTATCAATTTTTTTTGATTTTACACTATTCTGTACCCGGTAATTTGTTTTTTCCACACTATTCTGTTACCCAAATTTGTTTGGGGGGGGGGCCCTCCCCACACTAATCAGTAACCTACATTATTCCCAATATATTGAAAAATAAACATGTTCCAAACCAACAACCAGGTACTAATGAGTGACTAGAATAGGCCTAATTAAAAACGCGTCATGTCCTTCAGAAATCATCGACTTGATTAAATAGTCCTAGCTAGTCACTTTGAGTGGTAACGGTTCCCCCGGTTTCTCCTCTGAGGCGACTGAGGTGTATTATGTCTAGTCTAGTACGTCTACTCCTCTACATACTGCTCATCTGCTCAGAACAGTGATATAGTGATACTGTGGATGGTTGCGAAATCCTGCACCAGTTCATAGATGGTTTATCCCATTATTTATAAGGTTTCAACCATCCTTTTGGTGGTGCAGGATTTCGCAGCCATCCACAGTATCACTGTTCATTTTCAGCTAACCCCCCAATGAAAACAAAGTGAGCTATCTCGTCACCTAACTAGGCTCGCAGGCTCGGAACAAACGAGTGGATTTATTATGGTAGATATATCTGTAGGGTTGTATGCCACCTTGCAAACCCTCAAAAGTATCAATGCAATGTAAAGCAACCCCAACAAGATAGAACAGCAAAATCTGTATCTATGTTATTTTGTTGTATCCACTATAATATGGCGGTTTATGGTACTTATTAGTATACATAGAAGGACATACACGCCAAACTTATAGTGATGAATTAGTGTTCTATCTTCCGTGGCGGGACTGTATTCGTACACAGTACCTGCAACATGCATGACCCCCTCTTTTGGGTGGTTAGCCATACGTGTTGTGGGTTTAAAGCTTCGAGGCTTCGAAACGAATGTCATATGGATTCCGAGCACATCTTCATCCATCCCATGGTGGCTATCCTGTGACACTATGGGTAGACTGTCCTCCAAAATGTGGTTTTCAGAAAAAATGAGGATACATCCACTTCATCCAACAACCATTGTATTGACACCCCTTTTGGCCAACTCCTCGTTGAGAGAACTGCCTAACGACACTGGCTTCTCAGCACCTCTCTTCTGGCTTCCTGAGCCAAAAAACTTGCCAAGACCAGACTGCACCCTCCCTGAGCTGGGTGGTGAAGACTCAGGGCTGCCAGTAGAGCCCTTCTGAGGTGTAGATTCAGCTCCTCCACCTCTAGCTCTGAGCTGCTTCTTCACCTTAGTTGAATACAATGTTGAGGCAAATCCCCAAGACATGTATTAAAACCTAATTTCAAAACAGCTGAGAACTCAGATTTTTCTAAGTGTTTTTGACTGAGTTCCCACATCTCCTGGCTTGGCCAAATGAAGAATCAAAAAAATCTTAGGTAATTAATTAATTAATTAATATGGAAAGCATCAACCTTAGGCCATCATATCTATGACACATGCTCAAGTGCCATCAAGTTTCTTCTCTGAGGGTGCCCAGCTGGGTGTTCACTTTGGAGACTGAGCCACTGAAGACATTCTTGAGCTGAGCTGATTTGGAAAGGAAGATCTTGATGATGTAGCCCAACAAGATCATGGCTGGGAACCAGCCCTTGGCATTGCAATCAACCATGAATTCATTAAGTAATTAATTTTAGAATTATATAAGTGTACAATTGTACAGTTATATGCTTAGAGGAAGCTAGTGGAGAAACAAAAGTGTTTACTTACTTAAATCTTGCCTAAGATCCAGCTGAGCACTGTTGAAGAATTGTTCCAGAGCATTGAGCCTCTTGCTCAGATCCACTGAGTTGCAGCCTGCAATGCAGGCTGCATGAGATGGAAAAAAACATATTTCCTCAATTAATTAACTAGGTAAACAAAACCCCATTCAATAGCCCAAGGTTTAAAACCAAAAAGCTGAGATGCAAGCTCAGATGCTGGCCATGCTGATCCCTGAGCTCATCACCAAGGCCAAGAAAGCAAAGGTTTTGAGCTGAGATGAAATAGCCATGCTGAGCCTTGGCTGACAAGATTTGAATTAATCAACTAAGCAACTGAGAACTGAAACAATGTAATTAACTGAGTAATTAAATATTCCACTTTTATATAGTAATTAATTAATTGACAACTTCTATTTCATAGGAAAAACTTGAGACAATAAAAAACAAAATTAGATACAAAAACCAAAACTTGATTTCATTCACAATCTCAGGAACTTCCAGTTGAAATAAGCTGATAGAGGAATAGTCGCTGCTGAGCTCTGGATGCTGGTGTGCACACATGCAAGCTCAGAACCAAAACATCAAACTTTGCTGAAAGTGCTTTGCTGAGAAATAATTATTCAATTTCCCAAATGTATATAATTATATAATTATATAAAATTATATAATA